CCAGCAAATCGTCGCGTTGAACGCGAACATCACGAACCTCAACGCCACCAAGGATGCCGAGCTCGAGACCAGCGCCGCCGCGCTGGCGGAGGCGACCGCGGGCAAGGCCGCCGCCGAGGCCACCATCGCCACCAAGGACGTCGAGCTCGAGACCAGCGCCGCCGCGCTCGCGGACGCGATCGAGAAGCAGGAGACCTGCGAGGCCACGGTGCAATCGCTCGAGGAGGCGAACGCCTCCGGGGAGGGCTGCCCGACGCCCGCGCCGACGCCCGAGCCGACGCCCGCGCCGACGCCCGCGCCGTCGGTCTCTCCGACGCCCGCGCCGACGACGCCCGCGCCGACGACCGCGCCGACGCCCGCGCCGTCGGTCTCTCCGACGCCCGCGCCGACGACGCCCGCGCCGACGACCGCGCCGACGCCCGCGCCGACGTGGGGCGTCGTCGAGTGGATTCAGCGCGGCGACGACATCGACGGCGAGGCCGCGGGCGACGAGTCGGGCAGGTCGGTATCGCTGAGCGCGGACGGCGCGACGCTGGCCGTCGGGGCGCCCTACAACGACGGCGGCGGCACCGACGCGGGCCACGTGCGCGTGTTTGCGTGGGACCCCGTCGAGGAGACGTGGGTTCAGCGCGGCGACGACATCGACGGCGAGGCCGCGAGTGACTTCTCGGGCATCTCGGTGTCGCTGAGCGCGGACGGCACGGCGCTGGCCGTCGGGGCGTCCGGGAACGACGGCGCCGGCTCCAACGCGGGCCACGCGCGCGTGTTCGCGTGGGACCCCGTCGACGAGACGTGGAAGCAGCGCGGCGACGACATCGACGGCGAGGCCGCGTACGACAAGTACTGGTCGGTGTCGCTCAGCGCGGACGGCACGACGCTGGCCGTCGGGGCGTCCGGGAACGACGGCGCCGGCTCCAACGCGGGCCACGCGCGCATGTTCGCGTGGGACCCCGACGACGAGACGTGGGTTCAGCGCGGCGACGACATCGACGGCGAGGCCGCGGACGACTGGTCGGGCTACTCGGTGTCGCTGAGCGCGGACGGCACGACGCTGGCCGTCGGGGCGCCCTACAACGACGGCGGCGGCACCGACGCGGGCCACGTGCGCGTGTTTGCGTGGGACCCCGTCGAGGAGACGTGGGTTCAGCGCGGCGACGACATCGACGGCGAGGCCGCGAACGACTACTCGGGCATCTCGGTGTCGCTGAGCGCGGACGGCACGGCGCTGGCCGTCGGGGCGTACGGGAACGACGGCGGCGGCGACCGCGCGGGCCACGCGCGCGTGTTCGCGTGGCACTCCGACGACGAGACGTGGTTCAGCGCGGCGACGACATCG